AGGTTTTCCCAAGTAAATAAGATAGTTAAGACACTCTTAAAGAAAATAGGAGCAACAGAAAGTCTCACACTTTACTGAAAAGACTGTGGGTTAGTATTACCACTTGGGAAACCAGTTTGGAAGTATCTAAAAAAATGAAAAATATGTACACTTTATAATCTAGCAGTTTCATCCCTTGATAGCTATACTAGAATAACACTTGTACATACGTACATGTTCAAGAACATTCATAATGACATATGTGATTCATAATAGTAAAAACTCTAAACTAGTCTAATGTTCATTAACAATAGAATAAATTAAATATTTTCAGGTAGCAAAATAAATGACTTCTAGCACTATAATGGTTATATGGTTAATTTGTGTGTGTGTGCACATGTGGGTGGTATTGGGAATGAAACCCAGGGACTTTTGAATGCAAGCACTCTACCACTGAGCTATATTCTCAGCCCCACATGGTTAAATCTTTTTTTTTTTTTTTGAGAGAGAATTTCAATATTCATCCTCTAGCTATCGGCGGACACAACATCCCTGTCTGCATGCGGTGCTGAGGACCAAACCGGGCCACATGCATGCCAGGCACACGCTACCCCTGGAGCCACATCCCCAGCCCCATAAATCTTAAGAATAAATGCTAATGAGCTATGCCTGGTGGTGCATGCTTGTAATCTCAACAACTCAGGAGGCTGAGGCAGGAGGTTCCCAAGTTCAAAATCAGTCTCAGCAATTAAGCAAGGCCCTGAGCAACTTAGTGACACCCTATCTCAAAAATAAAATACAAAAAGGGCTGGGGATATGGCTCAGTGGTTAAGCAACCGTGGGTTCAGTACCTAGGACTCGGGCTGGGGATGTGGCTCAAGCGGTAGCGCGCTTGCCTGGCATGCGTGCGGCCCGGGTTCGATCCCCAGCACCACATATAAACAAAGATGTTGTGTCCACCCATAACTAAAAAATAAATATTAAAATTCTCTCTCTCTCTCTTTAAAAAAAAAAATACCTAGGACTCTCCTTCCCCCTCCACCAAAAAAAAAAAAAAAAAAATACTAATGAAAGAAGCCAGAAAGAAAACAATATTGTCATATCATTGATTTACATGGAGTCCCAATCTAAGCAAAATAAACCATAGTATTTAGGGATGCATACTTAGAAAGTAAAAGCCAGGAACTACTTTTTGTAATAGCAGGTCAGTGGTTATCAGTGAGGAAAGGGATAACAGTGGGAGTGGGACACAGACAGCACTTCTAAAGATTTTTATAATGTCTAATTCTCAGTGTTTACAGAAGTCTTTACTTTATAATTTGTTAATTTATGTATCTATGTTTTATTAACTTTATGTGTTATATTTCTAGTTAAAAAAAGGTAAAAAGAAAAATACCAAAGGTTTTATTGATTTTTATTTAAAAATATAACTAAATGCAGCTTGGTTGTTTACATTCTCTACCATTCAGTGTCAAAATGAACATTGGAAGCATATGAGAAGCAAAGTTTAATGAAGCCATATCATTTATATAATACTCAAATAGTTACAATATAAAATCTGTCATAAAAATTACTAAAAGATGCAACATAGGGCATATTTTAATACCAGTACAATAGCAATAGCAGCTTTGCAAATGTTTATCTATTGATTTCTAATGCAGTTTTCTTATGAACTTTTATCCCACAAGAATAATCAAATCACTTAGTTACACCAATACAGTATATGGTAGTTTATTGGTACTATAAACATAAGTGCCCCATAAAATATTATGTTGTTAACAAATACTCAGCTACTTTTTTTCTCAGTCATTATTTTCTTTATTTGTTTATACACTTTTTAATTGTAGATGGACATGATACCTTTATTTTACTTAACTTATTTATTTTATGTGCTGCTGAGGATCCAACCCAGTGCCTCACATATGCTAGGCAAGAGCTCTATCACTGAGCCACAACTCCCAGCCCTTGCTTAATTTCACACAATATAAAAGTCGCTAACATATTTAGAAAAAAAATTTAAAAAAAAACAACTTTTACTCTTGGGGCTGGGGTTGTGGCTCAGCAGTAGAGCGCTCACCTAGCACGTGCGAAGCCTTGGGTTCGATCCTCAGCAGCACATAAAAATAAAAAAATAAAAAAAGGTACTGTGTCTAATTACAACTAAAAAATAAATTTAAAACAAACAAACAAAAAAATTTTACTCTTGGGAGGCTAGGGGAGGAGGATTTCMAGTTCAAGGCCAGTCTCAAGCAACATAGTGAGACCCTCAGTGACTCAACAAGACCCTGTCTCAAAATAAAAAATTAAAAAAAAATAATGACTAAGGATGTAGCTCAGTGGTAAAGCATGCTGGGTTCAATCACCAGTACCAAAAACAAAACAAAACCAAAAAACTTTTCCTAGAAATAGCTATCTCTTTACTATCTGTTTTAATTTATAAATGTTCTTTAAACACGAATGTAGGTCTCATAAACAGAGAACTGCCTCTTAAGTGCTAAAAATTGTCCCCAGGTCAGCTTTCCAGTCTGGTGACTTTCTAACACTCTTATTTGGCGTTTCAAAGCAATATTTTTTCTGGGGAAATAGAGGCATTTCTGGGAAATTGCTAAATTAATCAAGGATATCTTTTCCATAGCTGCTTACTGTCAGACTAGAAAGTTCAGAGAAGATCTGAAATCCTTGTTTCTTATGGATGAGGGGGATCTACAGAGGAGGATATCAGCATCAAAGGTATTCCTGGGGCTGCAGATGTAGCTCAGTATAGAGTGCCTACCCTGTATAAGACCCTGGGTTTGATCCCCAGAACAGGGGGAAGAAAAAAAAAAAAGCTAATCCTGTGCCTTTGTGCCTTTAGTCAAATCCACCATAATGAGAATTCTCTGTTCCATGATACTTAGCACATATGTGATGGGAATCCTGGCTGAAGCTACAGCAGACATATCTGGCAAACTGGGAGCTCCCAGATATACTCTACAACTTTGCATGGAAATGACTAATAAGATTGCTAAGTAAAATGTAAGATGCTCAATTAAATGTGAATTTTAGATAAATGGTGAATAAAAAAAAAAAGTTTTAGTTTTTCAGTGCTGTGGATTGAACCCAGGGCCTCACCTGGTTGCCTGGCAACCATCTACTTCCGAACTACATTTCCAGCCTAGAGTTTCTTGCATTCCTCTTTGCCAAATCTGACAACTCTAGCCTGGAAAGAAAGAAAGGAAAACAAAAACAGTGGGGTGTGCATTATTACTACTATTGAATACACAAACTAGTGAGGACAGGGAACCAGGGACAGGGATATCAAAGAATCCTTTGCAGGATATTGTGGAAAGCTGAAGATTCACAGTGAAGTTTTCTTTATTTTTTTTTTTATGTTGAAGTTTCATGAAATTTTTATTTAGTTATATACATATGGGCTGGGGATATAGCTCAGTTGGTAGAGTGCTTGCCTCACATAAACAAGGCCCTGGGTTCAATCCCTAGTACCACACACACACACACACATTAAAAAAAAAAAAGTATAGTTACATACATAAGCAGACAGCAGATATAAAAGCAAGGAATAGAAGGACTGGGGATGTAGCTCAGTGGTAGACAACATGCTTAATAAGTGTAAGATGCTGTGTTCAATCTCCAGCACCAAGAAAAGAAACAAAAACAAAAATAAGGAATACCTCAGATTTCTGTGTGTTAGTTAGAACTACCTACCTAAGGTGCTATAAATGATACATTCTATTTTTAAAAAATTTTCTATAGTTGTAGATAGACAGAATGCCTTTATTTTGTTTATTTTTATGCTCTGCCACTGACCTACAGTCCCAGCCCTAATTTTATTTTTTATTTTTTTTTTATGTTCTTGAACTGAGGATTGAATCCAAGGATGCTTTACCATGGGGCTACATCCTCAGTTCTTTTTATTTTTTATTTTTTTTATTTTGAGAGAGGGACTTGGTAAGTTGCAGAGGCTGCCTCAAACTTCAATTCTCCTGCCTTAGCCTCCCAAACTGCTGGAATTATGTGTGTGCTATAAAGCCCAGTGAAATACTCTAATATTTAAGGTCACATTGGGTGTTTTGCTTCACATTCTTTTGGAAAATAGTTGTCTTTGGATGGGAGATGGTCTATTTTGTGTCTGTAGAAATAAAATCTGGAGCTGGGCACAATGGCACATGCCTATAATTCCAGTGGTTTGGGAGCTTGAAGCAGAAATTTTCCAAGTTCAAGGTCAGCCTCAGCAATTTAGTGATACCCTGTGTCAAAGTAGAAAATAAAAGGCTGGGGTTGTGGCTCAATGGTACAGCACTTGCATAGCATGTGTGAGGCACTGGGTTCCATCCCCAGCATCACATTAAAAAAAAAAAAAAAAAAAAAAAAA